TGTATTTTTGCAAAATGCCTTTTACAAAATAAATGATATTTCCTAATCACAAATACTATTGATGATGATAATGCTTTCTTTTGAAAAACCAATAAATACAAGAACGAATTTTAAAGATGTGATTTGTCTGAGATATTTGTAAAAGAAAAATAAAGAGCCTGGATTTTCAGAGTTTAGGTAACTCTGAAAGTATTCCATAACCTTTCAAAGAGTAAGCCTGAAGGTATCAAGCAAATGAAGAAAGTGAGAAAATGGACTAGAATCGTCTCTGAGCTATTTTACATGACTATTGATAGTTCTTCTGAGGGTTTCTTTCGGGACTTATTTCTCCAGAAACAGCCCAACATAAAAGTTTTCTAGTGAACTGGTTAATGAGAAAAAATAATGTACTGTATACATCAACTTTACCATAAACAATTATGCATATCAAAAGACCCTAACTTTAAATAGGAACATAAAGGGAGAAAATATCTGAATTACAGAAAGAAATTAATTTATCCAGTAATAACCTAGAAATAATAAAAATGGCAAATGCATTCATACCTGGAAGCTGGGAGGACAGAACCACAACAGCACTGATAAAAATTTTTAAAGAAGTTGTGTATCGGGGCATTTCCAAATAAATAGACACAAAAACTTTTTATTTGTTTATTTGCTGCTCTTTTGGAACTGAAACTTAAATCTTCAGAAAATAGAAGGAAAAAATTACAATTGAGGACACAAGCAGGCATTAGGAACTCATAATGGATATAATTGTTCACATCAAAAAGGCCCTCCCAAAATTGAGGAAAAGTCTCAAGATTTGAAGAAAAGTTTCAGGAGCCAAACAAAGGAAGTAAAAGAAACTGTCAAATATGTTCCAAATAAAATCCACAACGTTGCAAATTTGGGAAAATATATTTAGTATCACCACAGACATAACAAACTTGTAATAGTACATTTAACTAAGCCATTCATATTACCTTTTTAGTAAGGTGATAAAATCATTAAAAAGAATATGGCATCGATGTTAATACTTAAAATTTGAAGAGAGTACAAATTTAAAACTAGAAACAACACAATTTCACTAAACCAAACTGATAGAAGTTCAACAATGGCTTCCATGTTGCATATTGATGTCTTCAGATTTATGGCTCAGATTCACAGATATAAGCATAAAAATTGGTCAAAAATTTGAAACAAATAAAACTGAAGCATTAATTATTTGTTTTAAAAGACTAGTAGAAATCAGCAGTATAACTAGCCAAGCTATCCTAAATTACCACTACTCTACAAGAAAAGAAACATATTTTTTTATGGCAATGGAAAAATTATGTTACAGGGTTTGTGAAAAAATGCGAAGTCTTTAATAATGGTTACATAGATCCCTGGTACCATAAAAGGCAAAACAAAAAAAAAAAGTAGTTAAGCTCTTTCTGAATAATGAGTGCAAAATGATACTTTATACAACAAAGTAAACAACTAAATAAATATGCTTTAAGCAACTTTGAAGAGACTCTGGAAGATATAGATATATCAATGGGACACAGAAAAAACTAATCATCCATTTTTATTGATTATTGACATACATATATGTGTAGGTATGTGTACATGCCTACATACGTGCACATACATTTCTTCTATCACAATGTATTGAAAATTGGGAGATAGGTATAATTTTATTAACAGTGTAAGTAAAATATTGTGAAACAAACCTAAGTTAATATGCATATAATTTTATGGTAAAATTAATTCAAGAAACACTATATGAGTTTTAAATAATAAAAGTGATAGAATGTGGCTGCATTTGCAAAATGGAAGATCAAGATACATAACGAAAAGGAATTAAAAAGGTAAAAGACATATCAAGTGTTACGGTATTAAACTTTTATGTCTCTAAATTTTTAACACCTGAAACTTTATGCTTAATTCAGTGTGAGCATGGTATATGCAAAAATGTATTCAGCAAGCAAAGACGCTGGAAATCATTTTAAAATAATTGTTCAATTTTTTTCATAAATATACAGAATTTTCTAAACAACAAGAGGCCTGTCATAAGATTTAAAAATTGATGACATAAAGTAGTCAAATGAAATATTCTTAATATAACTAAAAATATACTTAATTCAAGGGTTAATGGAAGAAATACTGATATATCCACATAGTGTCATTTGTACAACATCAATTCAGACCTGTTGCATAATGTCAAGATGTAGGAAACAATACTCCCACGAATGACTAGGGAAAATTTTCACTTTTATTTTTTGAAAAGGTTTTTTGATAATATGCATGAAAAATCAAAAGTGTAGATAGATTATAAATCAGCCATTCTGCTTTGGAGCATTCATTGATTTACACAGAGAGGTGCATGCTTGTGTATAGCATAATCTGTCATATGTCAAGGTCCTATTTTTTTTCATTATTGTAGAGACATGATGGTAAAAACAAATTAGAAATCTATGGACAGCCAAAAATTAATGAGAGTTATAAACTATGTTATTCATAGTGGTCAAAACATTTTGGAAGAATAAGACTGTAATGAAGTCATGTGTATAAATGTATAAACATATACAAGATTTTGTTATATAATGAAAATACTTAGAAGCAAAATAGAGACAGAATAATTCCAGTTTGAATGGACTTACATTTATGGGCAGAATTCAAGATACTATTAAGCTTACAGTAAAATCATTACACTCATGCCACTTCCATATGCAGGGAATACCATCCTTTAAAATATTTGAAAATCTTTTCAAAATATACTGTTGATACCAAAGTATGGTGGTAAATAACTGCAATGGCAGTAATCAGAAGGTGATGCAGAAGGATTTCCATGAGATCAAGTTCAGCTAGAAATAACGGAAAGAGGGCTAGGCTGAAAGCTCAGCAGACGAAAGCACCTGCTTAGGCAGAATGCAACAGCTGGTGTTTAATCTCTTGCATGCCGTGCCAGCTCCTGCCACGGGGTGCACTGAGATGTTGATTGAGACTGGACACTATGGTGTATGCCTCTAATCCCAGTTTTTGGGAGGCTGAACACAGGCGGATCACTAAGAGCCCAGTCTGTGTAGTGAGACCCTTTAGACCTTGTACTAAAAATCCAAAATACAAAAATAAAACTAAAAGAAACAAAGAAAGAAAAGAAAAATAAAAAATGGAAAGAGTCTGTCTGGAAAAAGCACTACTATGTATTATATATGCAAATATATAATATATAATAAAATAGGTGATGTAAAAATATAATACATTACATTCTATAATGCTAACGTAAAATATACTCAGTATGTGAATAGTTTTCTTTAACAAAAGTTTTTTTTCTCTTTCCTTTTGAAGTTTGGAAAAATGAAAATTTTCTCGAGTCTAAAACGTCTTCCTTCGACAGCTAAGGCAATCTGGACATAAATTGTCCTTAAAATGTAAGATTTGCTTTTGCAATCATACACAGGTTTAAACAGGTACCTATTCGCATACTACCACAAATAAAATTGAACTCTCCAACGACTTTGAAATATTCCTGAAATATAATCACACTAAATATCTAATCAGTTCTTCTTCAGTCTTTATCTAAAGTTGATGAGTGATTACACTAGATTGACTTTATTTATAAAGTTGCTTCAGTCAAAATCCCTCATTACCCTTGTGATTTCCCCAAGTAATAGTTTACCCAGTGTCTTCAAATCTCATTTGTGACTGTGAACACCCATCCATCCAGGCAGTGCTCAGAATCCACAGCAATGAACCTCCCCAATGCACAACCACAGTGCAGTAGTCCCTATGCTGTCAATTATGCCCTCATTAAATAAAACATTTCTCACCGTTTTCACTGACTGCCATTTGTAATTCTTTTCTATAACTGGTTTCAGGAGATTAAGATCAGACCTCACAGACTCAATCCTAGGCCAGACACCACTAGAAAAAATCTTACACAGACACCACTAGGAAAGATACAACATTCATCCCATAGCAGATTCAGAGTCTCCAAAGTAAACACATCGTTAACAAAATCAAATATGGTTTTGGTACTTTAGAAAATAAACACATGCTAGTTATACTATTACATGCCCAGGATACAGGGGTAGAACAAACTATTGAAACTAAAGAAACTAGCTATTGAAACTAAAGAAACATTGGGAAGTATCCAACAGTGAAATCATTAGCAAACATTAGGACACCCTGAGAAATAGAAAATGTGTATAGGCTTCATCTACAGAAAACAGAGACCCAAATTCCTAACCATGCCTGTCGCTGTTCCCATCTGAAGGTGACAGCTACAGGAACATTTGACAAAAGAAGGTATTGTTTCAAGTAACATCTCTTTCACTCACAAGGCAAAAATCATTGGCCATACTCCGTTGCTCTTTGCAAAATCTATTCTTATGTTCATATCTCTCTAAATAAGTGATGCTCTTGTATCTTTAGAAAGAGAATACTCATGTATTCAGTGAAGAGCCATACTGTGAGGTAAAATTTTCATGAATGACATTTTCACTGCCCAGGCCTGGCTTGCAAATCCAAGTGCCATGGAGCAAACTTGTCATGAAATAATGACACAGAGTTTATCTGAAAAGAATCACTGAACATCTGCCCTGAGAAGACTCAAGAACAATAATGAACATATCATACATAATAACTTAAAGTGTGCATAATCAAAGTCCCTATTCTGATAATATGGCCAGTGATTGCATTGAGGGGTACATTGCTCCCATCACTTAGAACTGATTTTACCCAGTGACTGGGTTGTGCTTCTAGGGATCAGCTCGTACCACCATGCAATGGCATCTCCATGGGGCAGGGTCAAGAACAATCGATCAAGTTTGAGCATTGTCTCACTCAAGCTGAAGCTAAGAAATAAAAAGGACTGTCTACCTTCCATATTCAATGATGAAAATGCAACATAATTTATAGACAGTCCTCTCAAGGAGCAGACAGAAATATAGAGCACAATGATGCATCCATCCACAGAAAGTAGGTCTAACCATCCTGATATCCAAGAATATAATGAATACAAAAAAGTTACTTACGGCACAACAAAGAGGTCCTTCATTGGCATTAGGTCACTGAGGCCCGTGAGATGCATATAGAAATACAAGGAGAAAAATCCCCCAATCTCCACATCTCCACCCTTGTGCACACTGGTGCGCTGGCTGCGAAAGCAGACATCATTCTCAAAATTACATACCCAAGAAAGCATCTGCACAAGGAGGAAAGGGACAATCAAAGGGGACATTCAAGAGAAGTATCTACAGTCACATCTGGGGGAAAATGAAACATGTAGTGCCAGCCAGGGAGGCGCATCTATTATATTTATGGGCATGAATGTCTCAAGTGGACATTTATGTAAAGGGCTTCATTGACCAAAGGATTTTCCATGCCTTAGGAGAAATTTGACACCATTGCTCTCCTGGGATTTACATCTGAGACCTGGTTGCCAAGTGAAAAACACAAGTTGGAAATATTTTTCTCTCCACCAGGAGAAAAAATGATTTCATCAATTCCATAGATAGTAGCATCTCAAGGGTCAAATCTAGGCAGACACGTTGCTAATTCTCAGTCACTGAGTCCTATGTATTGATGACATTTGGGATGCTGCTAGTACATTGCATTAGACTGAGTCAAGGTTACGTGTTTGTTGAAGTGGTCTAACAAGGCCTATGCAAAGCCAACAATATTCATCCTTTTAGATCCAAGAAAGCTTCAGATGAGAAGCTGCAGCATTACAAGCCCATGGTTCACTACACATGCACAGCACTGTATTCTGCATCACATATTGTCTATGTACCACTTACTGGACTAAAACTGACAAGTTTATTCTTGAGGTATGAATAATTAAACTGAACACAGAAAGTGCAAATTAGTAATGCAACAAAATAAGAAACTGACATAAATGACATGAATGAATGGAGAAAGGTGAAGGAAGGGGGACAGGAGCAAAAGATGAAGGGAGGGTCAATAAAGAATGTATCTTAAGATACATTTAAATACATATTTTATCCTGTTCTTATTTTACTTATCTTAGTGATATGGTGAATTAATATCCTATTTCTATCATTTTAATGTGTTGTGATGAACTATTTCCAAACTGAAAACCTTACGTTTTTCCATTATGTAGAATTTAATAAGAGCATAAGACAATATAGTAAATTTCTTGTCACCCTAAATGTAAGGAATAGAGATAGAAATGGCTTCTATAGTCTACTCCATCCACATAACTGAAAAACGGACACACACTGCAGAATTAAGAGTCCTGGAATTCAGTGAATTTTTCAGTAATGCCGAAGTTATTCTGCTTAATACTGCTAAGTTTGGTTCATTGTAGTTTTGCATTTGTCGAAAAATAAAGAATATTCATCACTACAACTGAGTTCATTTTAATATTTGAGTTATTTTCAGATTGGTAGGTTGATATTGGCTTCTAAATACCTATACATAAAAAATAGGTAAAATGTTGACTTGACAGAGGATTTAATTGTTCTTATTACATGATGTGTCTATATTTGAAAGATGAACATCCAGGCTACATGTTTCTATTAGCATAATAAAACCTGCTTGTCCAAATAAATTCAAGCTGTAACTCCAAAACTTCAGAACATTTTAGTAAATAGTGAATGTATATATTAATAATGGCTTCATATGATGTATACTAGAAGATAATGATACATTGGATGCTTTGTATCTATTAGTATGATTGTTATCAGTGATTCTGCTACAAAGACTAGCAAATGTGAGCTCATGCCTGGGAATACCACAGAAGTGCAAGACTCCCATAAGCAAGCTGTTCTCTAGCATTTGGTTCAGATTGAAGCTGTGCCTCTGTAAATGGCATGTGGAAGTCTGAAAACTGCGTTTTCTGAAGGTAGTCTCATTGGAAAATAGGGAGCTGAGAGATGTAATGTTCAGGCCACAGTGGCAGGCTTGATCCACCGTCACTGTTATGTTTGTGAAAGGAAACCATTCTAGGGTGGTGCTCATGGATACTCTGGCAGTTCCTATTGCTAGCGAAGGATGGCCAGGGATTTCTGGCCACCACTTAAAGCCAGAGAGAGCGACTGTCTTTATGAAGTCATTAAATTCATCATGAATCTGATAACTTCATTTCATACACCTGCAATGTTCTACCGGCAAAGAGCATAATGCTGTTGTTGTAAACTATCCATTTTCTTACAGTTTCTTCAGATGCCCTAAGAAAATAATTCAGATACAGTAAGAATTCATGAACCCAACAAAAAGGTAAAACAAGAGAAACATTAATACCTGCTTTCCTTTTTTATATTAATTTTATGGAGAAATAGCATTGAGACAATTTCAAAACAAGTTAGTAGGACAGTGGCAATAATTAATTCATTGTATATTTTTCTCTTCATAGTAGATATTCATAGTACAAGATGCAGACATGCTATCTTGTCTAAGCACTAATAGTTCAAAATTTTCTTCTCATTGAACTAAGAGAAAGTAGCTGTATATCTATGCTATTTTGTATATATATATATATATATATTTGTTTTAAACTACAAAATGAACCTTCATTTATATCCCTCTTCTTTGTTTACTTTTGTCAGAGATGGTCTTCCATTGCTACTCATATTACATAGGTGTATGAAGTCAGCAAAGTAATCCAATATAGTCCAGTAGTTTATAATAGTAGTGGCTTATCTGAATGACTGACAATGTGAGAAGTTGTTGACTTGAGCCTTTTACAGCTCAGCATATTAATATGGCTCTACTTTTTATACTTCATGTCTATACTTTTCTGCTGAATGGTTAAGACCAAGACAAAGCAAGAACTATGAAACAATAAATGTAACTTTTATACCTGACAAAGTGAGTCAAATCCCCTCAGGATTTACCCAGAAACCCTGCACATCAACTTGTAGATCTTTTTTCAGTGCCAGCCATCTGGAAGAGACATGGCCATCGCCTGATCAATTTGCTCTCTCTGAAAGCCTGAGAGGATGTTTTCTCTCTAGAAGACTTCTCAGGTGAACATCACATTGTCAGTCACTTTACTCTGTGATGCTATCATCTCCTGGATCAGATAATTTTGGACTCCACTGAGTTACAGGATGTCACACCACAGGTTCTCCTATGTCCTAAATCCTCACTGATTTTGGAGGGCTAGGGCCACAATGCTGGCTATACTTGTAGCTGTCCTTTTTCTCTAATAATTTGGTCTGCAAACTTAAGTTGTTAACCCTCCAGAATAGAAGCTTAATGACATTATTACCCTAAATCATAGGCTGTTGAGCCTAACATCAGTGTCTTTCTGAATCTCAAAAGCTTTAGATATAATATGCAACAAGTATTTTCCTTCTGTCATTTATATACTATACTCTAAGTCCCTGGAGAATGTGAAAGAACAGGAAAAAATGAAATGAACAATTAGAAATATTTGCACGGAAATTTAGAAATCTACAGATGTACATTGTAGCAGGAAAGTCCTAACACATTTTTTCTTATCTCTTGTTTTCATTTATTAACATTTTTCTTTTTAAAAAAACAAACATTTGCCTGAGAAAGAGTATAGCAATGATTAATGTGACATTAGAAGCAGTACACTTTTAGAAGACCGGAATGACAGGGATTCCAATCATGACCCTAGTATTGCACATTGCTAGATTCAGCGCAGTTGCTTAGTTCACAGGTATCAGTGTATGTAGTTAGTCAGAGTGAAAATCCTACCAATTAATTGCTAGCTTCAAAAATCCAGATAGAAACTCTCAGGATCATCGCTTTAACCATCTTCTTTATATAAATGCATGGTTTTGTCCCTGTCAGTTTCCAAGCTTTTCTCCTTGCCCTCTCTTTGTTGTTTAATCCTTAAGCTCTCATTTTTCATTTAATTGTGTTGTGCCTGTCAATATGTATATACTCTTTTGAGTTCCTATACTAGAAAATTATGCAACATTTACACATGTGGGTCTGGTTTCTTTCACTTGTGATTATATCTTCAAGTTTCGTCCACTTATATATGAAGGTTTTGAGTTTGTCATTTTTTATACGTGCATAAAAATACCACATCTTTTTCATTTATTCCTCAAGTAACAGGCATTTTGGTTGCTTCAAAGAGTTGGTTGTCAACAATTGTGCTGCTATGAACGTAGGTGCACATATATCATTATGATAAGACGTTTTCAGTTCTTTTGGGAAAATTCCTAGTAGGGGGAAAGCTGGTTTAAATAAGATTTCCAGTCCTAGTTTCCACATTGATTTCCATAACGGTTGCACCAGTCTATATACTCAGCAGCTGTGGAGAAGGGTTCCTTTTTCCCTGTAGACTCTCCACCATTTGCTGGTGATTGATTTCTTTATGACAGCCTGGGGTAAGATGTTATCTCAGTGTTGTTTTAATTTGCATTTCACTGATGTGTAGTGGTGTAGCGCATTTATTCATGTATTTATTAGCTTCTAGGATTTCATTCTCTGAGAAGTGTGTGTTCATTTCTGGTGCCCATTCTGGATTAAGTCTTTAAATTTTGGGTCCCTAATGTTTTTTAGTTCTCAATAAATTCTAGAAAGACCTTTGTCTGTGCGTTTATTAATTAAGATTTTTTCATGTGTGTGTTGTCTTTTCACTCCGTTGGTTATTTCTTTTGACGTGCAAAAGCTTCTCAATAAAAGGCCGCCCCAGTTGGTAATTCTTTAAAGTATTACACATGCAGTCTGATTATTGTTCATGAACTGCTTGTATACCTTTTCGTCTTCAAGAGTTCTTCCTACTTTTTCTTCCAGGAGATTTAGTGTTCTTTCTTAATGTTTAGATCTTTAATCCATTATTTTAGTTTAGAGACTGGTGACAGACCTGGGTCAAGTTTTAGTCTTTGGCATGTAGAGAACCAGTTTTTCCAACACTATTTGTCAAAGAGGCTATCTTTCTTCTAGTAAGAATGTTTGGCACACTTGTTGAAGATGGCTTAGTGAGTTTTTAGATGCTTCCGATTTTTCTTATGTATTCCATTGATCCTCATGTCTATTGTTTTGCCAATGCCATGCTCATTTTATCAGAGTAGCTTTGTAGTATAATTTCAAGTTAGGAATTGTAATGCTTCCTAATACCTGCTTTCTTAATTAGAATCCTTTTGTAAAACAATTACTTGGTAAATGTGAATATGTGTGTTTGATTTACCTACATCAGTAGTTTCTGGAAACCTGTTCAAACAATTTGAGACCAAAATAACAGTTTTTAGAGTACCCTCT